AAAGCTGGAGGCCTCACAATTCTGGATTTCAAATTATATTACACAGCTGTGGTAATAAAGACATTATGGTACTAGCACAAAAACAGACACATATACATCAGTGGGACAGAACAGAAGACCCAGAAATGAACCCACAACTATATAGTCAACTAGTGTTGCAACAAAGCAGGCAGGAATATCCAATAGGAAAAAAGACAATCTCTTCAATAAATAGTGTGGGGAAAACTGGACAGCAACATACAAAAAAATGAAACTGGACTATTTTTTACACCATACAAGAAAATAAATTCAAAATGGATGAAAGACCTAAATGTGAGACAGGAAACCATAAATATTCTAGAGGAGAACACAGGCAGTAACTTCTTTGACATCAGCTGTAGCCACTTCTTACCAGACAGGTCTCCTGAGGCAAGGGAAACAAAAGCAAAAATGAACTAGTAGCACTTCAACAAGATAAAAAGCCTCTGCACAGGAGGAAAGAAATAATAAAACTAAAAGGCAACCTACAGAATGGGAGGAAATATTTGCAAATGACATATCTGATAAACGGTTAGTATCTAAAATATATAAAGAAGTTGTAAAAGACAACACTGAAAAAAACAAATAATCCAGTTAAAAAATGGGCAGAAGACAGGGATAGATATTTTTCCAAGACTACATACAGATGGCTAACAGACATATGAAAAGATGCTCAACATCACTCATCGTCAGGGAAATACAAATCAAAACTATAATGAGATACTACCTCACACCTGTGAGAATGACTAAAATTGAGTTAATTTTTGTATAAGGTGTGAGATTCAGGTTGAGGGTTTTTTTTGGGGGGGGGGGGCGCAGTTAGGGATTTCACTTGTTCCAGCATCATTTCTTGAAAAGGTTATTCACTGAACTGGTTTTGCAGATTAAAAATCTATTGAACATATTTGTATGAGTCTACTTATGGGTTGTCTCTTCTGCTTCATGTTTTGCTATCAGGAAAATACTAACCTCACAAAACAAGGTGGGAAGTATTTCCTCCTTTTCTATTGACTAAAATTGATGTCAATTCTTTAACATTTGGTAGAGCTCTCCAGTGAAACATCATGACCAAAGGAGATTTCCTTTTTAGATTTTTCATTATGAATTTAATTTCATTAACGGTTATAAGACTACACAGATTGTCTATTCATCTTTCCTTATGTTGGTAGTTTGTGGGTTTTGAGGAAGTGATCTATTTCTGCTAATATGCCCAATCTATGAGTGTAAAGTTTTCATAGCATTCTCTAATTATCCATTTAATTGATGGAAGATTTGTAGTGGTAGTCTTTGTTCAATCCTGGAATCGATTTTGTCTTTGTTTGTCTAGTATATATCAATTATATTGAGCTTTTAAAAGAGTTCTTTATTCTGTTGATTTTTCTCCATTGTTTTACTGTTTTCTGTTTCACTGATTACAGTTCTTGAGTATTTCCTGTTTTCTTGCTTTGATAATATTTGGCTCATCTTTTTCTAGTTTCTTGAGAAAGAAACATTGATTATGGACTTTAGAATTTTCCTCTTCTATAAAAATTAATACTTTTTTTATACATTAATACATTAATGGTATATCTTTTTCTAACTTTTTTTTTCAACCTATGTCATTATTTTTCAAATGAATTTCTTGAGAGTAACATATTGGATCATTTCTAGAAGTCTATATGTCAATTTCTACCTTTTTTATTGGTATATTTAAATTATTTACATTTAAGGTAATTACTGACATCCTAGGACTTAAATGTGCCATTTTATTACTTGTGTTCTGTTTATCTTGTTTCTCATAACTTACTAAGGATTACCTGAACAAATTTTAAGATTCCATTTTAATATACAGTGTATTTGAGTATAGTGTTTTGTACACTGCTTTTTAATGGTTGGTTTAAGGAGATGTTTTGTATATTAAAATAAACAAATATAACTTATCACAATCTACTAGTATTGACATTTATCATTTGAAATGAAATGTACAAAATTTACTTCCATTTAGTCACCCTTTCTTTACCTTCCCATATTTAAATATAATTGTATTCTTTTACTCTACATGCACTGTACACATCATATAGTTTTAAAATACTTGCTTCAATCTTCAAATGTGATTTAAGAAAATCATAAGATAGCCTGCTAGATTTATGCATTCAACTGTTCTTTTCTTTTTTAAAAATTGCAAGTCTTTTTCTGTTATCATTTCCTTTTTCTCTCTTTTTTAAAGTTTTTTCATTTCTTTTCTAAATTTATTTTCTAATTCTCTTTAGAGATTTTACTTAGTCATTTTTACAGGGTCCTTTATCTAGTGACAAATTTTTTAAGTTTTCTTTTGTCTGAGTGTGTCCTCATTTTCCTTTCATTTCTGAAGAATAACTTCACTGGATATGGAGTTTGTGATTGACAGTTCTTTCTTCCAGCACTTGAAAAGTATTGTTCCACTTCCTTCTGGCACAACTGCCCCCTACCTCCCTCCTCCAATCAGTCATTTATATTAGTGATTGTACTTTTCAGTTCTGTAATTAACATTTTGTTCCTTCTTGTAATTTTTATTTTCTTTATTTATTTCAAGAAAATTAATAATTGCTTGTTGAAGCATTTTTATGATAACGGCTTTGAAATCTTTGTCAGATAATTCTAAGATCTGATTCATCTTTGTGTTGGTGTCTGTTGTCTATTTTTCTTCACTGAAGTTGTGATTTTCTTGGTATGATGAGTGATTTTTTTACTATATCCAGGGAATTCTGGATATTATATTATTATATTATGAGACTCTAGATCTTATTTAATCTTTTTTTTTTAATTTTTTCTTTTTTTTTTTTAGCAGATGATCCTTTGTTGTAGTGTGGTATGAGGACGATATGAACATATATGTACAGCTTCTTGCTGGGTCCCACTGACACCACTCTGGCAAAACTGAGGCATTGATAATACTGTTTCATCAAAGACAGGAGGGTAGAAGTTTACGTCCTCTCTTGGTCCTGCTGAAACCTTTCTGATCAAAGAGGGGCATCACCTTTCTCCACATTATTGATAGTAGGGATATGTTTAGCTCCCTGCTGGGCCCTGCTGATAACAAAAGGGTAAGTAGAAGGTTATCTTGTACTGAGAATGAAGTATCAATTACTTCCATCTCATTAGTCTTATTGATGCACACAGGGATGGAGTTACATTTCCCTTGTATGCCTCAGTGACACAGGAAAAGGAAGGTAAAGCAGAGTGGTGAGTAGTTCTACCTTACACTGTCTCTTTAGTCTTAACTGCTGCTGGGTAGGGGTGGAGACTCAGCTCATCACTGGACTCCACTAACAATACCCTGCTGTAGGAGGCAGAACACAGCCTGTTTCTGCTGTGCTGATGGAAGATCAACTACCCACTTGGCCTCATCTACAATATACTGGCAGGGAAATCAGAGTGCTGTCTATTCAGTCATGTGGGAGACTGAACAGCTCAGCCCAGCCAACAAACACTACCAGGGGAGAGATTCAAAGCTTTGCCATCTACTTTTAGGGGTAACACGGGGTGAGGTAAAAGATCAGCTTCCTGCTTGGTTCTGTTAAAATTATGAGTCTATGCTGAATCATGTTTTTTTTTTGAAGGTATTTCTTGAGGGATAACTCTTATAACTCCAAATTTTCAAAAAAAATACAATGAAAATATTACTTCTTTAGAGGACAATATTAAAAAATTGGCAATGTTTTTGTTAATTAATTGTGCTGATAAAAAATATATGAATCCTTTAGTTCTTAGATGGGTCAACAGTTTTGGTCCACTGTTATTACCTCATATAGACGATTCCATTTACTACCATGGTCTCAAGTGATTCTTGGATAAGGACAAATCCCATTACCAACTAAAAGATAAAATTTTCTTTCTTCTGAGTTTCATGCCAATCTGTCCAATGATTTAATGAGTATTTGGTTATCTGAGAGAGATTTCAAATTTAGCAAGTCTAAAATTATTCCTTTTTTCTCTCACATTTATTCCTGTATCTCCTCTTTCAGTAACACAAGCTAGATTAGACCTAAGGTTTCTCCAAACTGAACTATTTTATGAATGTATATCAAGTTGGAGTAAGTCTTTTGAGACTCTTGTTTTTTTATGCTAGAACAAAATTACTGAATTAATTCCTGATATTGGCTACACAGAGTACCTGACATATTATAACTAATAGTATATTATATAATAGAGACCAATTACCTTAACTGATTTAAAAATAACACAAGCAAATTAAACAATAATTTACTAAGATTTGAGTTTGTTGAACTCAATTTTGGAAAGTCTGATTAAATCAAACTTAATGATTTGTTGAGATCCTTACATGTCATTGTTAACAGTTGAACTCAGTACTGTTACACTTGATTATTGCTACTCAGTTGTTAAATTTTATTTATGTATTAGATAGCAAGTTTGATTCTCACTGGATTATAAATTGCTCTCAGAGCATGTTATGCCATATGTTATGCTAGAAGACTAAAAATCCACAGGATTTATTAAAATGTTAAAAACAGAAGAATGCAGTAATGATGTAATTTTCAAAGAGTAAGGTCAATTTTTCATTTAATGTACTACAAATTTTAAATTGCAGTTTGCATATTGTGTTTTCAATGGAACCAGGAAATATTTTCTAGAAGACTGGTACTATTTATAGTTAGTGAAAGCTTACAGGGAAAATAAATTAAGACAAGATAGAAAGATAATCTGGTATGCACTCTAATGCTTATATACAGCGTTTCTTAAGTAGATTTTTCATGTAGTTCACAGGAAAGGGTTCTTTGTGGATTTTCCAAATATTCTTTGTAGAAATGCACTAATAATAGTAATTGAAATCTGCCTATCTGATAAGCATATTTTTTAATTCAAATAGGATAATTGTTAATTAAATGATGTCCTAACACACCCAAAGATTCAATAGTACAAAGAAAAAGCAGTCCTTCCCTCCAACCTCCCTTGACCTGGCAAAATATTAAGTCTTTGTAGTGGTGAAAAATGCCATACTATACCTTGATTTCTTCTATTTCATCTGGTACTATCTTGTATGCTGATATAGTCCCACCCAACCTGAAATTAGGAAAAGAAAATATTCTCAAAACCAGCAATAGTGTATAAAAATATATGGAATATTTCTTCCATTAGCATCAGAATACCACCAGTAATTGCCCATGGCCCACCCCAGTGACCATAAAGTAAAAACAACTTTTTATGCTTAAGTATTCCATATATTACTTAAATAGTGGCAGATAATAACTACGAAAAGAGGAAATAATAAGTTATACTTTTAACTATAAGTAAACTCTTATTGATACTTTTAATGATGCTACCACTTTTACTGATGGATCCTGTCACAACTAAGATGTATCAAGCACTAATAGCAGACATGGTAATGGCCTGTTTGATTTGTTTTCAATTCACAGAATTTTACTTTTTAAAACAATTTTTAAAATATTTTATTTATTTCTGAATGAGAGAGAGAGAGAGAGAGAGACAGCATGAGCAGGGGAGGGTCAGAGAGAGAGGGAGACACAGAATCCGCCGAAGCAGGCTCCAGGCTCTGAGCTAGCTCTCAGCACAAAGCCCAATGCGGGGCTTGCATCCATGAACCGTGAGATCATGACCTGGGCCAAAGTAGGACACTCAACCGACTGAGCCACCCAGGCGCCCCAGAATTTTACTTTGTAGTTTTGAATTTACAGAATAATTGAGCAGAAAGTAACAAGACTTATATCCCAGATTTTCCATCACAGTTTTCCTTGTTATTAATATCTTAGTGTTGAACATGAATCATAATTAATGAACCAACAATGATTTGCTTCTTTTTAAAATAAGGTGCACCTGGGTGGCTCAGTCAATTAAGCATCTGATTTTTGGTTCAGGACATTATCTCATGGCTCATGGGTTGGAGCCCAGCATCAGGATCTTTGGTGTTAGCATGGAGCACACTTTGGATCCTTTGTCTCCCTCTCTCTCTGCCCCTCCACTAGCACTCTCGCTCTCTCAAAAACATATAAATATCCAAAAAAATAATTTAAACAAGGAGTCATAGAGGTGTGTGTCCAGCATTTTCCAAGGGAAAGAGATGAGTGTTTTGAGGGTTATGATATAATCCCTAAAATGCAATCTTTGTCTTGAGGGAGTGAAGTCATTACATGCCATGTTCACCTGTTAAAAAAAATTTTTTTTTGGAAAGTAGCTAAGATTTATGTAACACTTATCATTTGCCAGGCATGTGATATGTTATCTAATTCTTATAACTGTTGTCATTGTAAAAATAGGAAAACAGACACAGAGTGATTCAGTAAATTTCACAATTGAAACAGGCAACTGAAATGCATATTAATTGTAAAATATATACCAGATTTCAAATACTTAGTAAAGAAAGACTAATTTAAAAGTATTGAATACATTTTAAAATAATCTGATGAATATATTGAGTTAAATTATATTATTAAAATTATCATCTGCTTTCATTTAGTTTTTAAAAAGTCACTACTAAAAATTTTAAATTAAAGATAGTGTGCATTTATGTCAACTATCATATATATATATATAAAATAGAAACTCTAAGCTCTTAAACTCCAAGATTATCTACCTATCATTACTCAAGAGTCAGTGCTCAAAAAGCAACTTTTTGATTATTTGGCCTTTACGAGTATCTCAGTATTAGAAAAGAGAGAATCACAAATAAGGTACTTATATACTCTAGATATTTTAGAATATCTCCTGTCTCAAATGTAAATTAAAAAATGACATTTTGGGGGCTCCTGGTGATTAAGCGTCTCCTGATTTTGGCTGAGGTCATGATCTCATGGTTCATGGGCTCTAGTCCTGTGTGAGGCTCTGTGCTGACAGCATGGGGCCTGCTTGGAATTCTTTCTTTCCTTCTTTCTCTGCCCTTCCCTCACTCATGCTTGCTTACTTGTGCACCCTCTTTCTCTCTCAAAATAAGTAAATAAACTTATAAAAATGACATTCTGGTTTTCATTAAAAAATAACTTTATCTGGCCAAATGAATTTTACTGAAAAGTCTACATTTAAACTCTTTAATATTACTATTTAACCTTGCTAATGGAAATAGTGTTCATATCCTGATTTGAGAATTACTTCCTAGATTTAAAGTGCCATGACTGAATGATGAAAACACTCATGACATTTGACTTAATTCATACTAAAATGAAAAATTATATAACCATTTTAAAATTTTTTTAGAGAGTAAAAGTGTGAGTCGAGGACAGGGGCATGGTGGGGGGGGAGGGGAGAGAGAGGGACAGAGACAGAGACAGAGAGAGAGAGAGAGAGAGAGAGCATGAGAGAGAATGAATCTCAAGTAGGCTCCATGCTCAGCACAGAGAATGATGCAGGGCTCAGTCCCATGACCCTGGGATGATGACCTGAGCTGAAATCAAGAATCAGACACTCAAGTGACTGAGCTACCCAGATGCCCCTATATAACCATCTGTAAGAGGTTTCAAGTAGGCATTTAAAAAATGTTTCCCGTGTCAATTATTAAAGTTTTTAAATTAAAAGTTGAGATTATTGGAGTAACACTGAAGAAATTAGAGCAAAAAACTCAAGGTCTTCAATTTAGAGTCTTCCAAATGATGAGCTAATCATTTTATTCCTCGAGTGATACAACCAAGTGAACGAAGATGCAAAGAAATCACAGTCTCGTATGTAAATAGATTGAGTAAACAAATATTTGTAATATAAAGTACTAAGTGTCACAATAGAACTAGGCAGAAGTTGAAAGTTTGAAATGATCTCAAAAAAAAAAAAAGAGTTTAAAAAATTCCTATCCAGCACTCTCCACAATAGCTAAAACACGGAAAGAGCCTAAGTGTCCATCAACAGATGAATGGACCAAGAAGATGTGGTTTATCTATACCATGGAATACTACATGGCAATGAGAAACAATGAAATCTGGCCATGTGTAGCAACATGGATGGACCTTGAGGGTGTTATGCTGAGCCAAATAAGTCAGGCAGAGAAGGACAAATATCATATGTTTGCACGTATAGGAGGATTAGGAGGAACTTGACGGAGGAACAAGGGGGAGAAGAAGGGGGGAAATGGTGGGGGAAAGGGAGAGAGGCAAACCATGAGAGACTCTTGAATGCTGACAAAAACTGAGGACTGATGGATGTGGGCGGGAGGGGGGGATGGGCATGGAGGAGGACACTTGTGGGGATGAGCACTGAGTGTTATGTGGAAACTAATTTGACAATAAACTATTTGAAAAAAAAAATTCCTATCCTTGTAAAATACACTGGTAATAATACAGTCTACAACAACTTTTAAATAAATGGCTATTACAGAAAAACTTTTGATATGTTAGTACAATTATGATTCAAAGATACAATGTTGATAACAGTTGACTTCTGGAAGAAAAAATTAAAAAGTTGCTATAATAAACTTCAATAAACAACTCATTTTCTCTTGATTAATAGTGACTAACAGTACTCAAATACTGCCTTTCCTGAAATCCCAACCTAGGGACAGAAAGCTTCCAGATTAGTATTCCCACATCAACTTCAAATCAAGTTATAACGGTCTTTTTTTAAAAAAAAAATGTTTATGTATTTATTGAGAGAGAAAGAGAGAGAACAAGCCAGGGGGAGGCAGAGAGAAAGAAGAGAGAAATCCCAAGTAGGTTATACACTGTCAGCACAGAGCCCAACATGGGGCTTGAACCCACAAATTGTGAGATCATGACCTGAGCTGAAAGCAAGAGTTGAATGCTTAAACAATTGAACCACCCAGGCACCCCTCAATCATAATGGTCTTAACTGTTTTAATTAATTTTTATTAGAGAGAGAGAGAGAGAGAGAGAGAGAGGGAGAATAAATATGAGTGGGGGAGGAGTAGAGGGGGAGAGAGAGAGAGAATCTTAAGCAGGCTCCATGCTCAGCAAAGAGCCTGATGAGGAGCTTGATCCCATGACCCTAGGATCATGGAGTGAGCTGAAATCAAGGGTTGGATATTCAACTGGCTGAGCCAACCAGCTAGCTGTTCCTGGTTTTAACTGTTAAAAAAGCCAGGTAAAATATATGATTTAACATGCACTTACTTGCATTAAAATCATATGGAAGATACAAATAATATGCATATGAATAGTATGTTGGCAAAATAGTAGGATAATTGTATTCTAAAACAAAGAGGACATGGAGGGCCTCTGTATTATATATAACATAGAAGAAGAAAAAATTAAAGCTGATATAATACCAGAAAAAAAATCTCATAAAAAGAAACAATCTAAATGTAATGAAAACAAAACAAACTGAATCATGAATTGAGTGTAAAAAAAATGAATGTTCAAGAATAAACTTACTTTAACCTATCTTTTTTCCTATTCTCCAACTGAAACCAAATTAAGGTGACCTCACCAACTATCAGTTTTGTTCCATGAACTGATTACTGAACATTTCTATTTTCATGGCTTCAAGAAACATAGCTAGATTTAAAATACTTATAAGTTTAGCATGCTATCAATATTCCATTGTTACTACACTCAGGCAGACTCATTCCAATTTTCATGTTCTTCCCATTATAATAGGGTCTTCATTGTTGAAGAAAGAATTCACACTAGATAGAGTACTAATTTACTCTAGTCAATATATTAAAATGGTATTACATTGACAGTGACAGTGGTGGTAATAGTACCAATACTACTAGTAGTAGTATATTGAGCATTTACATGTATTTATTTATATTTTCTCACTTAACTCCCATGACCTATGATTATGAAACAAATAAGAAAACTAATTTTTGAAATTCCCAGAACTAGTAATTGCAGAGCTTGGCTTAAAAACCCAGTTCTAAAAACTGATTAGCAGACTGTAAACATCATATGAAAATTTAAGAGACACATAATAGTCAATCTCAAAAAGAAGAAAGTTGGAGAATTCTCACTTGCTGACTTTAAGTACTAGAAGGCTATAGGAATCAATACAAAGTGGTATAAGGACATATAGCAACAGATACAAAGTCCATAAATTAAAAGTCACATTTATGGTCAACTGGTTTTTGTTTTCCTTTCTACTTTGTCATGGAAAATACAGAAATT